CTTCGCGAGCAACACTCACAGTAGGAAACAGCTTACCCTGCCCAAGCATCGTCGTTAGCTGCTGACTCATCAACATTCCATTGCCCGAAGCCATTGGTGTTTGATCATACACAAGTGGCAATGGTGACTGCCGTGACTTCGGTGACATTGCTCCTGCTCCAACGGACGACATGATGCTTGGCGAATCACCCCTACACACAGCAGCTTGGAAGCTATGCTGCATTTGTTGATGCTGCCGCCGCTGCTGCTGCTGCTGCTGATTAGCCGCCACGTAAGCTGTTTGCGACTTGAATTGAGGGAACCATTGGGAAACTGGTTGTCGCCAGACCATTGGTGGTCTCGATCCGGGATAGCGTGCGGGTGGAGGAGGAACTCCAGGGTCCACCATACTCCCACTCAAATCAACCTGCTGCTCTTGTTGTTCTTGTTGTTGTTGAAGGAACAAGTGAGGTCGCTTTTGCAGAGACATAATTCCATGGGGCGGGTACGCTGCAAACATGGACTGTCCCTCGATTGAATGTGAATAAGGGGTTGCCGAAAGTGCTTGAGATAGCACGGGTTCTGTGCTAGCAGTTGTTGCTGGTTGTGGTGTGCAAGGCGGTGGTGGTGAACGTCCATCCGAGGCAAGGCCAACAATTGCACTACTACCATTGCCTCCGGTCGACTCAAACTGACTCAATTCGGACACGATGTCAAAGGCTCTCAACTCAGGCAGTTCCTGGGGATCTGACTGAGGCTGCGGGACAGGTTTTGCTGACGAAAGTGGTGCAGCGACAACAACAGTTTCCTGCTGACATGTCTGCTGCGAAACCTGTGGCCGCGACGAGGCGATATTTTGCACATCCTCAGCAAACATGGGATGGCTTTGTGGCTTGACAAAATTACCACATTCATCATCATAGATGTCCACGGTTGTCTCGTCTTCGCCATGCTCATCCTCGTCACCATGAGTATCATCTTCCAAAAGCTCCGAGGCTGCTGCAGCGCCTGCATGAAAGTGCGATTCATTGGTCCACAGGTGTTGTCGACCGGTCGAACCCGTGACTGGAGAGGCGAATCCACTCCGATAACTGGCAGTCTTTGAGGACTGTGTGCAACCACCACAAACATCAATCTGCAAATAAGCGCAATGCCAATGTAACCGGTTTCTTCAGAGATTCGCAAATCTCCGATGTAAGCTCCTGCAATCCGCCAAATAATGCCTCACGGTGACGCTGAAAACGTTGCATTTCAAGGAAAACTGATGCTGATAGCAGCAGCAGCATCTGTGGATTCACTGAAACTTTACACCTTGATCGGGCACTTTGATAACTTTGCCAGATGCACCAAAGCTGCTAATAATCGTGACGTTGCCCACCAAATGTAGCACTTTATGTGAGAGGTGAATAACTGAAACTGTCATCCTCACCATCAAGAACAATAATAGTGGTAACTTAGTGGCCTTCAATAGCACGTCTTACAGAAAGTTGTTGGGAACTGACAAATGAAAGAATTTTCAAACAGATAGTGATAAAACCAGCTCTAACTAATGGCAACGATGCAGTGATTTCGCAAAAAAGAATTTCCCCAGGACTAGTTATTAGAACATGACTTGTTTTTACTTGCCCAAATCACACTGAGTGGATCTTGAGCCAGAAGCAGACAAAGTAGAAACAGGAATCACTAAAATCAATGACAGTGGAACTGCAGGCAGTTTATAGAATGAGAAATTGGATTATCAATTATGTGGTGCCAAATTACAATACCTCGCGACAATGCATAGACAGACACCAGTTTATGAACAGTCAAGTTTTGATTTCATAAACACCAATGCAACTTAGCAGTGTACAGAAATAGAGGGAAGGATAAACTGTGGTGGAACCAAAGACCATGCAATATATGGTAAATAAATGCTGACGAACCGGTCTTTTGAGATCGGGTGCCTCCCCAGCCTGATGTTGATCTGCAGAGGCATCTGATATCGTGCGGTTTCTTGCAGTCGCAGTGGTGGTCGAAGAGAGCCTTCGACGTTTTCGCTTGCTGCGCATACCTTCCATCCCGGTGGGGACTGCGGCGTCAAGAGGCAGTCTGGAGCCAGCGGCAACTGCTGCTGCCGCTGCTGCTGCTGCCGGCAATTGTGAGTTCCCTGTCTGGGAAGTGATTATGCGATGAAAAGCATGAGTCCTCATCTCGGGAAATCAACAGAGCGTTTCGGACGGCAGTGTGTTACGAGCACCCAACCGACGCACAGATTGACAACCAAATAATGAAACGTCAACTCCCAAAACTCTCAACTACCAACCTGCGAAATCCAAGCAATTATCGATTTAGCGCCAATAACGTCTAATCCAGGTGTTATAAGCCTCGCCTCACGCCGAGTTGTGATGTCGACTCATATCGGGGCCTCCGAAACTGGCTATCTCAACGTGCCACAGTGAAACAATGCGCGCATCAAGTAATACGAGTTTGAACTGGCCAGAAAATGCACAAATTGACTCGACATTGTCTCAACGCCATTCAGTGGGCAATGAGTGAACCCTCAAGATATTGTCGTGTCATCATTTTATTAAAATTGCTCTCCTTTAGGCAAGTCCACTGACTTCAATACGCAGCTATTATTTCATGGATTCATGGTATTATGAAAAATAAGGCATGTGTCAAGCTCTCACTTACGTCATGCATGAGGTGGGTAATGAGATTGACATTTGAGCCCATTACCTAGTGCTTTTACATTTACCGCGAGTGACAAAATATTAGATTGCATGCTCAGTGGACCAGTGAAATCAAAGCATTTGTCCATTTAGCACCATTAACACCTAGTTGAGGAGCAATATGTCTCGCCTCACGTCGAGGTGTGATCTAGACCCACATCGGGGCCACCAAAACTGGCTATCTCGAGTTTGCTCAGCTCAGCACACTGAAACAACAGTGAAACAGTACATGCATCAAATAATACAACGTTAAACTGGCCAGAAAATACACAAATACTAGAGCATACCTGGCACACGCGAGTAGGCCTGGCACGGAAGCCCCAACGCCGAAGTTAAGATGACGACAGCGGGTCGCCGCGTCATCCTAATCCGCTGTGTCGCCAGACAGGACAGTGTAATTTTAGACACTGTCCTGTATACGATGCGTTAGTCTGTCTGAGTCTGATCTGACCTAAGCGACCGAGCGACCGGTCTGCGCTCTACAACTCAGATTCACGAATCAGAATTCCGACGTGTGGCAGGTTTGCAGTCTGCATCAAATAAGACACTAACATCGGCCTGATTCGAAGCTGCCAGGGAATTACATCGCACTTACCAGTTAATAACTCCGCATGGATGCATCAGAAACTCCAGATACCTATTGAGACATTGTACTTGCAGAACAGCATCACTTTGGGAGTTCGATAAAATCGTGACTGGATGTACGTGTTGATGTTGCGTTGGTGTTCAAAGCAACTTGAGCCGAAATCAAATGCTTTAGTTTCGCCTTGTCTTTGCTGCTTCAGACGAATATTTTTTGGTTTAAAGTCATAGTGGATGATTTTATTTCGATGCAACTTGTCCAAACAAATGAGGATGAAGTGTGCGAATTTGCGGACTGAGGGGAGAGGGAAGCCTTGGAATTTATTTTGTTTAATCATTTCGCAGTGGTTCATGTTGAGCTGCTTAACGTCATGCAAACGTGCTCACGGAAGGTGAAGTGCTTTAGCAAATGCACCACGTTGCGGCTATTGTCTAAGTCCTGGTCTCGAAGCAGTTCCGAAGTGCAAATCTCTTCTGCCGCCTGTTTCGTGAATCTCCTCTCATTTCGCAGCATTTTTAGGCCTACAAATGTGTTGGTCATTTGGTCAAATGCTTCCACCACCTGACCGAAACTACCCTTTCCCAGAATCTTCAACACCTCGAACCTGTAGGCGATGTAGTCGTGAGGGGTATGGATGTACGAACCTTGGTCATCGTCAAAACCGTAATTCTGTCCACTGCCAAGAACAACTTGGCAGTTCCAGAATCGACGCCGGCTCCGTTCCACACTCGAATCAAAGGCGCATTGGCCTCATTCCTAGCAGTTGATGGTAGTGAATTCGTCTGGTTTGGCGATGATCTCAATGGACTTCTACTAGCAGGCAAGGTCCGAGTTGGAACTCGGTTTTGATTGACCAAGTGAACCGTCGGACCTCTGTTGGCGCAGTTGGCATTAAGACAACCGCCAGACTGCATATTGCTCGAGGACGAGCTGCTGACTCAACCCTTGTGAACGTGATCACTGTAAACGTGGGAGAGGGTGCAGCCTTCGTTGGGATGCTAATTGAAAGACGAGGTGCCACATTGAGCTAGAGCTTGGATGTCATTGGCTTTAATCGATCCTATTGCTATCTTTCTGGTTTGATTGGCGTTATTTGAGTTCTTAGAAGATCCAAAAAGAGAAGAAACCATCAATGGTTTGTGCTTTACTTGCTCAAGAATAGTGGCGTCTTTCGGAATTGTCGACCAGTCGATCGGAGGTTGCCGAGTTACAAAGAATGCCTTTTTCTGTATGCTTATAGAATACCTGGATAAAATTCAACTGTAATGTTGAATAATGGTCTTCTTGTGTCTCTATTGTGTGTTTCTACCATTCATATGGAGTTCGGCTATAAAAGTAAAAGTACAGGTTGTACACTGAAGTAGATGCGGGGAAAAGAATTCAAGTTGACGAGGGTGACGAAAGTGCTTCACTAATCATATGCTCTACAGATTCCATCACGTACTTTTACATCAAGCTCTCTTCTTCTTGTTTGAACTTTGCCTACATTGCAACACTTCTCGGAGCCTTCCGTCTGCCAAATCTACTCTTCTGCTATTAAATAACAATTGCAATTGCAATCCAAAGCTTTTCCTCAGGAGAATAAACTGATGATTCATAGACAAAACCACTCATCACCACTTCGTTAAGCATATGCGATCACCAATTACCACAGGGAGATTGAAGAACATCAAAATCGATTATTTATACTGCACGAATCCACGTGCATCAAAATCTGCAAATTTCACAAATGAGCAGACCTCTGGGCCCAATTTCACCAGAGTTCGACTTCCAAATATCTAACGCTTTTTTTCAAAATGCACATTAATTCAAGTTTCCGAAAGGCTTCGCCTTCGGAATGTGAAAGTTGGGCGACAAGTGAAGTCGTTGTAGACTGATTCGTGCTTTCTGATTCATGTCACGTTCTTCAGCTCATCGTCGGTGTTATGAAAAACTGGCATGGGTCAATTGCTGCATAAACATCAGCAGCAGCCTATTTATAACTTGAGGTAAATTACAGTCTTCCTGCAAAAACGGCGAAAATGAAATGCCTGAATATGGATATATCCATTTTTTGTAAAATCAACTTTATTTATAAATTCAAAAATGCAACTGAATAACAGTTGAGATGTTCTGAATCACTAAAATGCAGCGCCTAATGCTGTTCCAAGACTAAACGACGTTTCTTTCTTTAAGTATTCAATGCAGCTGTAGTTATGGAAACAATCCACTGGGTATTGCCGCATATATTTTTTTAAACAAGTATAAATGTACAGATGGGATCGATCGTAACCAAATTCACACGGATACACGTTGCAACGCATCAAACCTGCTTCCGAAATGTAGTAAACTTTAGGCAACTTTGTCGAAGAACATTGATCAAACGATTGGAAAGTAAATACACCAGGGGTGGCAATGAACGTACCACCATCGATTCAACACTTCGCGTCTTGCCAACTTGCTCGAACCTAGCATCTACCTTCGCGTTGTCAAGCCGGTGCCATAAACGGTGTTTTAGGCATGGTACAGTCGACAGATGAGTAATCAGAGACGGCAAAGTCATTCTTAGCCTCGCCAAGCTTTTGTTTGTGCTGAAAATGAATTGAGAACTTTGTAACCTCGAACAGCACTTGAATAGTTACCAACTGGCAACAATATGCGGTCATCGCAATTTTCACACCTCAAGTCATCCACACCTTCGCATGTTGCTATACTTATAAGCCCACCTCAGTAACAAACGGGTCATGTTCACTTCGCGCACACAGTAACCTTCTTGACGTTTTACCCAATCACACCACGGTGTTAAGATTGCAAGACAGTCTACTCGAGTAATGTTCGCTATTTGACAACCACACACTGCTTAGCGCTGTTTGCACGGGCCAGATGCTTTTCTACATGGACTAGGTACAAATAGTGAATATTGGACAAATGTCTTACCGATAAACAGATTTACTTTCCACAAACAAAGCTGTGTAATCAATAGAAGATACACAGCCAGGCATGTAGGGACACAATGGATGTGTGACCCTGAGCTTTGACCTCATTCTCACGAAGTCAGGATGAGGGTTTCGTGTTGCAGATGTGGATGTGGATTTCGCAAATCCATTCAAAGTTGCAAGATTCTCTACAGTACACAGGTTGTCTGTCCATAGCCAATAGTTCTGCCGTGTGTGAGGGCACGGCTCTTCGACCCGCAAGTCAACTGCTCACGAACCCAAAAGTCTCCACGTTTGTTCGAAAAATGAAGTGGTTCATTGTAACAACACATCTTTCATCCACCTGATCTTGGGATTGATTAAGTGGTGGGTGATGGTGTCCTGCGTCATGAAGCTGACGAATTGGTGTGCAGGTGACGGCGGTGTAAGCACTTAAGTTTGGCTGATTGGGATTTCAAAGTGAGAGGCAGCTGGCGAAACTGCCGTGGTATCCACTCTCGGGGCTATCATTTGCGACTTTTAGAGTCCTTTCAATAAGCGCGGTTGACGGTTGGATGGGCATCGGCGGAGGCACATTTCCCTGGTGTCTGTCGACTGAAGGAATCAGTCTCGAGTTTTATCGTTGCCAAAACAGTGTTCGCAGTCTGACCTGTACTTCAGGCATTTCACGCATTACGTAGGACACAGTCTAAAATACCTCTCTGCAGGTGTCACTCGACAAACGCTCTCAAACGAATTGCGCAGTCATTCTAATGCTTTCTGCTGCGGAGACGCATCGAAGTTACTCGCAAGAAAGACGTCGATAAGCATGGATTTTAGAGCTAATGACAGCTACATGACGAAGAGATGTCATCTGTTGGTGGCGACGTAAGTTTGAAATGGCCGATGTTTACGGCCGGGCAAATTACGGAGTCTTAATTTCTACTCTGCCATCTACAGCCACGGAATCACAGTTGGCTAGACCAGGTCAGTGAACTCAGTGACTGCATATAGGTATTTCAGAGCCTGTCGCATGTGATGCGTGGAATGCCTGAAGTAGAGGCCAGACTAAAACACTGTTTGAACAATGATTAATCTCAAGAATGGCCCCGACAGAGACCAGGGGAATACGCCTCTGTCCACGTGAATCTAACCATCGGCAACACTTACTGAAATGACACCCGTTTTCACGTGCGAGGTGCACGTGTGGAGCAGAATGCACGAAACACACGAGTGCTGGCTCTCACATTGACTCTCGTCAAACACACCCTTTTTCATATGCACCGGGGTCTGCGGTGTTTATTTTGCAACATGCAATTGCTTTAGTGGAAAATTACGATGACAGTCGAACCATCCGACTCTGTGATTTGGGCCTTGTGGTCACCATGCATTGTGTTCCGATTAATATTTCGACCGATCAAGTGGAATGCAGTGTCACACGGCAGATAATGATGACGATGTCTGGTGACGCGTCTGGTTGCGAACGAACTCCATGGGCATAAGTGATGACAGTTGTGTGCTTCATCTGGTGCTGTGGATTGTTCTCGGAGGCGACACTCAGGCTGAACGAGGTAAGGATTTCACCTGCTGCTGTAGATTTAAAAAGTTGCTTCGTCTGGAGGTGGATGCATCGGTTGTCAGTGTCTTTCGACAGTGGAAGTTCGTGTGGTCCTTGACTTTGCATTGCTGACACTGATGACGTTTGTACGGAGAGAAATTGACCAAGCGCGAGGATCCACAATGCCGACAACAAGCTGAAGGACGAGTGGCCTTTGTTCTCATTCGGTGATTCGGTTCCGTCTGTATCTTGTTCAGCTGTGGCTGCTGTGGCATGCACGTATGACAACGAACTGTATAATATCGATCTTCGTGGCGTTCCTTTTTTCACACTAACACATTTCTGCACGCCTGTCGTCTTCTAATCACAAACCTGACACACCTCACCTGCTACACAAAGATATTCACAAAGCAGTAACATTAGGAGACAGTCATGCTCACAAGGCGCTGCACAAACACCCGTGGTATTCCCTCCCGTGGACTTACGTGGCGATTTCTTAATTCACATCAACAACGACGGGTGAGAATTTCGTCACGGTCGGAGGTGCTGCATAAGTCAAGTGGATGCGACCAGTAGCCTCAACAACTGCATCCAGATTTTGTACGGCGTCTCGAATGTGATGCCTGAAACGCAGACCAGATTGAGAATTGTCCTTGGGCACCGATCAGCATCGAGAAAGACCCCTCAGTGTCGACGGCGACGACGACGACGTTCCCTTCACTCTGCTTCTCCGAGTGAGTAGGCAGCACACCGGCATTCACAATTTCGACGATCCGAAGAAATCTCTGTTGGTCTTGACGACCGAAGACGCTCCGCTTACAGTCTCCAGTGGTTAGTGACGCGCAGACTGGCGTCGCTTATTCTTTTGGATGGTGTGATAAGCAGTGGCCATGCCTGTGGCCCTTGGCGATGCATTGCTGACACCAAGGCTACTTGAATGGACACAAACTGCCTCTCTCAATTGGAGGGGCCTTCGTCGATTCTAGATGTCGTCGTCGTCGTCATCCGAATTCGGTTCTTAGTGTGAAATGCACTTCAGGCCTTTCACATATCACATTTGACAACCTCTGAAATATCTCCACTCAGACGTTGAGGCAAGTGAGCCTGTCTAGCCGACTCTGTTTCCGTCGCTTCAAACAATGCATTTGAAATTAAACCACATTTCTCGGATGTCCATACCTACCAATCACTTCAAAATTACGTCGTCGCCAACCAAAGATATCGACAGATTATATAACTCCACCATCTTGTCCGATTTACCTGCACGTCTACGTATTTCGAGACGTCGTTTCTTGAGCTAACAACAAGTAAGTGAGTTAACTTGAACGCACAAGTAGTTAAGTAGAACTGAAATGGTAGATGTCACATACCCCCGTCAAGGCTTGTCATTGCTCCAGTGGCCCTGATGACCTGTGTCCGTGATTGCTTAATCCTCAAGCCTGCTGAGAAGACATATCGAAGTCGCGTAATTGTGACGCGTGGTGCCTGCACATCGACTTTTATATGCCTCTGTGTAGCGTGGCGCTCATTGGTTGTGACGTGAACAATTCACGTGCTAGAGAATGTGGCTCACTCAAACACGTGCGAGCACGTGCTGACCAATGAGGTGCACGCTAGCAGTAGGATGCACGAAACGCACAAGTGCTGATCCACAGGTTGACCTTCGTCACACAAACATCCACCCTCCTTCGCCTGAGAGTCAAACTCCTATTTGCCTATGCCTGCATTTGCGGTACCTGGTTAGTCGAGGGACTTGAAATTTGCCTGTTTGCTCCTGTGCGCGAATCATGGCAAAATCCGATGCATCAGAATCTGTTTTTTGGGCGCTTCCATGACAAGGTGCATTCGACAAATGAACAGTGGTGTCACTCGACAAACACTCTCTAAATAATTTCCCAGTCCTTTATAAGCATTCACATTTAGCCTTCTTTTTAGAGCAGAAACGAAGCCACCTTTACGCACAACTTGCTTGCTGTGTTTCATCGATGCATTGAGGTGGAATCGATCTGCACTTTATTTCCAATATGACAGCGATAATAACACTTGCCAACACCAATCTGAAGTCGGCTGTTCTTCGTGAAGATGATCAAACCATAGCCATCAGGACAGTGGAATGAGTGTTGGCTGGAATAATCGCCAGTAGGTAGAACTAAGTGACACCACAGTGGCTTTGATTGCCTCCCACCACCTCAAATGCCACTTCAGCCCTACTTTAGTGCCTGCGACGATTTTGACTTCACTCCGATCCGTCAGTTTTGAACCGTTAGAAACCTGCACCTACTATTTCAATAATTCCGTGATGACCCAGTTCACATGTCAGTTGGAAGGTGATGCAATCGGGCCCATAGCTATTTGACACATTGACTGCATAGCACTTGCTTCAAAGTCATAGAGGCTTTTGGCTTTGAGTGAGATGAATCATCCTGCGCACATTGATGCAGTCAGCCACGATACCCACGCTTGAATTCAGTCTCACCCCTTTAGAAGAAAAAGAAGATCGTCAAAATGCCAAACTTTCTACTTCCTCAACAGTGGTCAAGCAGGTTCGAAGAGTCACAATGCATGTGCATATAAGCCAAGTGGATTAGGTGAAATAACCGTGGCATGCTACTTATCTGGATGTCAGTGCGACATTATTTTGCGACGCTGCTCGCACATTCTGGATGGCTGGTTACAGTTTTCCCAACTTCCACGCATTTACATTGAGCCCCAGGAAATCTAGTTTAAAAATTACCTTGTTTTGTGTCAGTCAGCAAGGCATCGACGGAGTTATTATGTGCATTTTTCATTTAAGTCCATTGCCAATGTTGTTTTGTCTGCAATTGTGCACTTTCTTATTGCACTGTCAGTTGAGTTTCTGGATTGTTGAACTGAAATCGACCAGTTTCGGATTCAACCAAGCTTCATCTCTTCGCCTACCACGTCAACTCTGCCTTCAAAATGTCCAATTAACAAGATGGTATTCCCACTGCACAAACACTCGGTGACTGGAGTGAAATACGGCAACTCGATCACACACTTCACACCCTCTGGCCAGTCACAATGCTAATGCAACCGCGGTCACCGCCTAATCGCTACCGGTGGCGTGAAGTTGCATGATTCTAGTGAATTCATTGTCTAAGAGATCAACATTTCAATACCAACAACCTCAGGGAGCCAGTGGCGCATCTTGCATGGTTGACGGACCATCGCTGTTAAGAAGTGTGATTGAATTTAGGAAAATACTAACCACAATATCTAGCCAAGTCATATTTGCCTGGTGTAGCCTGGTTTCAGGTGATGGCTAATGATTCGGATTTCTAAAAATTTTGAAGATAACCTTTGACCGATTTGCGATTTTACTTGCTTGACTGTAATTGCATAAACTGAACTCCAAATATGCACATTTGCTCAACTTTCCGAAAACAGGTCCCATGCATACTAGTTGCGTGTTGCGCTACTCAAACCAGTCTGGCAAAATCGGTGGTTAAACGTGCAAAGTTGTTATTGGCTGATTTGGACGTGCCAAGTTTGGACGAGGACAACTTCGACTACTCCCGCAAAACCTTCTCGATCTCCCGGAACACAGTCGTTGGTTCCCGCCGAGGGCACGTAGACAAATCTCCTTGTCTATTCATTCAACCTAACCGGTCTTGAGTGCAGCAGGAGACGATCGATGCTATTTAGAATAATAGAGGTGCGCAGTCACGAATGGCAATGAAAAATGAAATAAAAAGTGCCTAAACTCTTGCGGTGTGCTGTGGATTAC